TATCAGTTTTCGAAAATTTTAAAATTGGAACAATTTTTTTAAATATTTTTTAAAAATAATTAACCATTAATTAATGTTTTCATTTACCATTTTAATGTAGTACAATTCACAATTTAAATTAAAAGTGAAATGCCAAATAAAATAAAGTTTAGTTAATATACTAAACATGATCTGACCATTGGTGCAGTGGTTATGGCACCGGTCCTTTAACCGGAGAGTCTCGGGTTCGACCCCGGTCAGGTCACTATAAAAATTATATTCAATATTATTATAACTTAATATACAATACTAATAAAAATATTATACAAGTAATTTTCAAATATTCCTAATATTCGATATTAATAAAAAACTAAGAAAAATAAACAGTAAATATTAATAACCCCAAATAATTAATATAAATAAAAAACTACGGCAGGCTAGTCACCTACCTAGTTAAACCCCCTATGACGCTATGAAACTAGTGCATGAGAAATCATGCACTAGCCCTATGCTCCTTCTAGGAGTGAACAAAGGAAAAAAAAAAAAAATATACTAAACATATTTTTGTATGTATTCGAATTTTTTTAATAAATACTACATAATTTGATAATTATTGTTAATGGTAGAATGCGCGATTATATTTACTGGTCCACAATAAATATTTATTATTTCATATAAAATAGCAACCCATATTCAAAATTTTTTAAAATCAGATTTGTTTATTAAAAAATTTTATTAAATTATTTTATTTAATTCCTGATATAGTATAAAATTAATTTGATAATGAAAAAAATATTATTATTATTAAATTTCGGAATGAAATTCATTTTAGTCTAGCAGCGAAAGTTATACACAGTTATTTATAAAAATATTGTTATACTAGTTTAAATTGTTAATGGTTTCTGTACCTATCTATATTTTACATATTATATTACACAGTTTTTATATTTATGTATGTATACTAACACGTTTAACTCTACATATATATATATATATAGTAACTTCACCTTATTAAAAACCAAAATCAAATTTTTCTTTTCTATATAACAAAATATACTTATTCAATATAATTTAATATAATAATAAAATAATTTCAAAAAAAACCAAAATTAGTGAAATAATTAAAAAATTTTTTAAAAACAAAAAAAATACATTGAAAATAGATTTTTGTTTTTTGAGAATAATTTGTTATGCAAAAAACTTTTTTTTTTCTAAAATTAATTATTTATTAACAATTTTCTTATACATTACTTAAAATAAAAGAAAATTTTAAAATTAATTTGATAAAAAAATTGAAATATTTTTAATTTTATATTCTAAATTATAAATTGTATTTTTAAAAATTTTTAAAATACAACATACATAAACAAATTGATTTATTTATTTTAATATATTATATTATATAATTTGTTACAATAATGTTATATTATATTCTGTTATAAAATTATTCTTACAGTCATAAATTCTATTAATTATTCTATAATTCTGTTATACGATTATAAGTCGATTTAGATCTACGTATGATTTACGACCAATTTGAATATTTTAATTTCAAATAAAATTTTATGCTACTTAAAATATTGAACGAGAATTTTACGTTTTCCCCTAATTCCCTTAAGGCAATATAGGTTTCTAAAGCCTACGGATTTTGTTAATTTACTGATATTGTTCATTGATTTGCAGATTTCTTAAAATCGGTTACAATAATATGTTGTATTTGAATTTGTATAATTTTATCGGGTCTGCTTTTTTTTTTACAAGAAGTTATCGCAAATTTTCGAAAATATTAAAATTTTCAATTTTTCTAAAAAACTATTTGATTTATTGGGACTATTTGAGTGTTTTTTAAAAATAAAATTTAAAAAAACATAATAATTGAGTGATTTTTTTTGAAAAGAAATAAATTCCTTACAAATGTAAGAGCTGACAAAACTTCAATTTAAATTTTTACCTTGTAGGCCACTTACACTAAAAACTTTTTTTTTTAGAAGGACGGTCACATTTATATACCTACTTTCTTTCAATGTTTACAATTCAATGTACCAGTTTTGTTTCTAAAATATTCAAACCTATATCATGAATTTCGTTCGTAGCCCTGAAATTCGTAAAATTACAAATATATGATATTGTCAATTCTGATTTATTAAAATTCTGCTCCGAATATTCGTAATATAGAAATCATAAATTACGTTCGTAGTAAAAACATCAAAGAAATAATCATACGTAACAAGCAATTTAAAGAGAACGGTTGCTTTAATTTTGTGTTTAAAGTTAAAAATTCTTTATTTTCTTCTTTCTCTAACACAAAGCTATCATGAAAGAAAATGAATTCTTATTTGTTTAAAAAAACAATCTGTTTTTCACTTTTCAAAAAAATATTGAAAAATTTTGATAAAATAGCAAATATTTTACAGTCGAAATAAAATTTGACATGCCGAAAAATGATACTGCAAATTCCTAATTCAATATTCTGTATAATACGAAAGAAATTTGTAATCATACTAAAAAGTTTACTATGACAGCTTAGTTTTTAATTCGTACAATTGCATGCAAGTGAAATTCATGATAGGACTGAATATTTAATTTGTTATATCTAAAATATTTTAAAATTCTAAACGGACTTATTCAATTGATTAGAAATTATTGAATCGAAATGGAAATTCTTATAAAAATTATTTGCAATAAAATGCAAATTTTAAATTATAATTAAATTAGCCTTGCAGAAATTCAAATTACAATTATGTCAATGTTTTTTTCTTAATTAACATTTTTGCTCTTAACCTTTTGCAATGGAAATAAATTTTTTTCTAAAATTATCAGACAAATTGCTTAGGCCAAGTATCAACAATTATGCAAATAAAAATTGCAAGAAAGAGAAAAATTTCTTTCAAATATGTAGATTTTTAATTTTGAATTTAAATTTAATGAAAAATTATTAAAATTATCAGAGAGAATTCATAATTCGAAGAAGATTATTAATTCAATTTAATTATTGTTTTTCCCTTAAATTTTTTATTATTTTGTAAATATTAATTATTATACAAGACATTATATTTAATTTAATATTGATATTAAAGATTTTAATTTAAATAGTAATATTATTAAATTATATTGTTAAAAATAAAAAATTATTTTAAAATTTGAAATTCCATTTTATTGTTGCATGTACGTTTTATGAGTTGAATTTATTATATAAAATTAATAATTAAAAATTAATAAAATTAATAGTAAAAAAAAAATAAAATTCTTTATAATTTTGCTATTATACATAAAATATAACAATATATAAATATAATTAATAAAAATATATTTGTTTGTATGTATATGAATATACCCACATTATTTTAATATGTATATGTATGTATGTATATAAATTTTGGATATATAATTTTTGTTTATTTTTTATTTAAAAATAAAAAATTTTATTGTTTTTTGTTAAATATACTCGTATATATACACACACACACACATTTTATTCAAAAACAAACAAAAATTAAATTTTTTATTTAATATTGTTAATGACTGAAATTAGCTGTTGTTTAAAAATTGAAAAATTCGAAATATTTGCTTTTAAATTTGGAAAATTTTTTTATTTAAATTTTTTAAATCCAATAATGTTTTGTATTTATGTAGAAAATTTTTTAATTATTCATTTATTTTTTTTTTTTTGTTTTTTTGAAATGTTTTATTGTTCTGTAATTTTTTTCTTTTTTTGGCTTTAAGGATTCGGAATTATTGGTTAAGTTTTATTTATATAATAATTAATTAATTGTATGTATGTATATTATATAATATAAGAAATATATATTATAATGTTAAATAATAATTATTGCTTTGTATAAAATTAAAATCAAGAAAAAATATTTTAAATGCAAAAAAGCAAAATTTCTGTAAAAAATTTTAGGAATTTAGAATATTCTCAAAAAATTATGATATTAGAGCAATTTAAAGCTGGAAATTTATTTATGCTTTTACATTATACAGTATACATATATATATATATATATATATATATATATATATATATATATATATGTATATATATGTATATAATTAATAAATAATATTATTTAATTTTAATTCATTATATGTATTTAGAATACAATAATTATTATAATCATTGAATTGTTATTAGATTATGGTTAAAAAAAAAAGATGCAAAATATATACAAAATTATTGAGGAATATAACATATAGGTATAGTGTAGAATGGCATAAGTAAACTTATATAATACAATAATTTTCTATAAATCTATAAATAAGAGAAAATTACTTATAAAATTAAAAATAAATAAATTACCATAATAAAGAGCAGCGTACTGATTATTTAAAATTTTATGTACCCCTAAATTTATGCAATTTTTATTAAAACTTAATATTAACACAAAAAAATATACAAACAGAAAATTTCAATGTAAATTTTGAATATTTATGACTTAAATTTTGATTTTTAAATTTATTTTTTAATAAATTTATTTGAAAAATAGTTCATTTTAAACAATATAACAGCACTGTTAATATAGTGCTGAAATTTAAATACATAATTATAACAGATATTATAATTTAATTTGTATGCTTTAAACCATATATGAATTGTATTATTCCTCAATTTTTGTATTATGCATATGTATGTATGTATATACCTTTCAAAATGCATCAAAAAATGCTATTGTTCCCCTAATTTATTGATTTTATATTTGTTGGGAGAAAATTTCGGAATTATATGCATTAATACTCTATATATAATTTTGAGGCATTTTTTAAGGTTATTAATTTTTTTTTTTTATAGTTACCTATAGCTATATGAATTATTTTTAAATTTAATAAAATATATTAATAATAAAATTAGATTTAATTAAATTTTAGAATTATATAGAATATTATAAATTTAATTTTTTAATTTTTTTTTATTATTATAATTAATTAATTTAATAAATTTTTATTTATTTATTTTTTTCTACCTCCGCTCACATTATATTTTTGAAATAATTTCAAAAATACAAAAAAAAAAAAATATTTAGGTTCAGATACAGTAATAATTCGAGAAGAACAAGTTTTATCATCAGCAGCAATTGTTGGTATATCAATTGCTGGTATAATTATTTTATTAATAATTATTGATTTCTTCTGTTGTCTATTATTGCGTACCGGTGTTTTAGCATCAATATGTAGAAAAAAGAAACGTTCACCATCGGAATTAGATGATGAAGCGAAATTAGGAAGGTGAGTTTGAATTTTTTTGTTTTTCTAATTATATTTGATATGTAAAAATCATTAGGAAATTTAAAAAAATTTTTTTTATTATATTTTGGGTTTTTAATGTTTTTGTTGTTTTTTAATGTTATATACATATTTTATATCTTGTTTTTAAAATTACAATATTACGGTATTAAAACACAATTCAAGTAGATTATAGAATTCATAACCTGAATAATTGTGTATTAATACAGTTAATATTACTGTAATTTTGAATTTGCAGGAATATTTTCATTAATTTAAGTAGTTTTTATTTTAAAATTGTTGTGTATGGGATGTAACACTGTTGTAGAGTGAAGTAAAGTAAAAACCAGGGATTTTTAATAATAATATTGCATTTTATTATTTAAATAAATACTTTTCGCTCGATAGCCCTTCTATATGTATAAAAATAAAATTACACTAAGTTCTCGAGATACGAATTATTCTAATACGAGAATTTCGAATTACGACATTATATAAAGTTGGACCATTTTTATTCGGCTTGCGATATTATTCCTGATACGACTTAAAAATTTAAAAAAATTTTTAATTTTACACATTTTACTGATTTTTGAATAAAAATCTATAACAAATTTAGTTATAAGACAAGTCTAAAGAACATACTTCAATAATGAACTCTTTCTAGTTGAAAATACTAGTCAGTAATTAACTTTGCTACTTTTTTTAAAAAACAGGTGAAATATAATATGAAATAGTTTGTCTAATACACTTTTTGTTTCCATACATTTTTTTTCTCCTCAAACGATAATTCGAGTTACGACATAAATTTCTGGAATAAAAAGTGTTGTATCTCGAAGACTAAGTGTATATGACAAAATTGAACCTACTCAAATTAAGTGTCCATAACTTATAAAATATAATTTAAAAAGTGCAATATTATTTTTAAAAATATTGAAATTATTAAGATTAAAATTTGTAATTTTTTTTATTATTTTTTAAAAATTGAAAATTTTTAATGCTAAATGTACATTTCTTAAATCCTGCTTACGGTATTAATAAATTCTTGCAGTAATACGGTATTAATAAATGATTCGGCTCATGAGTTCTAACTTGTTGAATTATGTATTAATATACAGTATTAATGCAATATTGAAATTTCATACTATTCCTGAGTTTCATATATTTTTAGAGTAATAATTGCCTTCAAATCCAATTCAGCTTATATGTATGAATTGCTGAATTCAGTTTGAACACAAATTTCTGAATTAAGATTTTGAACTCAAGAATATTATGTATTAATTTTTATTACATATGTAGAAAAAGTGTTTGAAAAATAAGTGCTTAAGCATATTTAAGAGGACGTATTTTGATTACACGCAAATTTGGGTACATATTTAGTTTTATTATATTTTTATAAATTCTTTAATCACATAAGCAACATATTGAATAGACAAGTTGATGAATGTGTTAGATAGAGCTGTTAAAATTTTGTGTAAATTAATTTGAAAATTTTATTATTAATTATAAAAATACAGAAGAAAAATATTTAAGATCTTTATTTATATAAAAAGGCAGATTTTCCTAAAAATTGTATATTCAACACCATTAATTAATTCAGACTTGTCTACGATGATCTGGTAAATTCCATTAAGAAAATTTTTATTTTTTCTATAGAGAAACATGTTGGAAAACTTTTTCCAAAATTTTTACTTGCAACTTTACAAATTCAATAGTCTTCTAACTCCAAAAAGGTCTACCATCTCCCAAGAAGTATTCTATTTAATTTTTCGCTTCTGATAGCACTTATTTTACAGAAACACCTTTATAGAATTTGTTGTAAATTTATAATTTTAATAATTTTTTATTATTTTTGTTGTGTAGTATTTTTTGGGTTTTGGTTTTTTTAACTAATTTCATATTTTTTTTTTCATTTTTTTTTTATTTCATTTTTCATTATTATTTTTTTATTTGTTTGGTTTTTAAAAATAATTTTTTATATTTGTTAAAAATGTATACAAATTGGCTTTAATAATTATGTAATTATTATTGTAAAAAAAAAAATTTTTTTTTTTTTTTGTAATATAATTAATGTATACACACACAATCATATAAATTTAAAATTTAAATAATGTTGACAAAAAAAAAAACCAACAAAACAAATAAAAAAAACAAACTCATAAAATGCAGTCTTTACGGCTGGCGTTTTCCACTACCTTATTGCAGTGGGCAAATGGTTAAGGAGCCACCACCATCACCATTACCATTACCGCCACCAGTTAAATTGGGTGGATCACCAATGGCATCACCATTGTAAGAAAATTATTATGCTTTCATTATTAATATTTGTTAAAACATTGCAAAAAAATAATTGCTTTTTTTTTTAAGAAGAAAAAAATAATTTAATCGGAATAAATATAATTTGCCGAATTACTATGAAGATTTGTATCAACACCCAGCAATTAGCTTATGAATAAAAAAAATTTCAAAATTTATTAAAATTTAAATTTTGTCGCTTAAATTGTCGCTATTTCTACGACAAAATGAATTAAAATTTGAATGAACTTTTTGGTAGTTTGAAATAGAGTAGTAAAGAGTCGTAATTTTGTGCGGTACTTGGACTCGTTTAATTTTCGTATAATATCCGAATTTCTCTTAGAATTCGGAAGATTCTGAAGATTGGCATACTGAGAGGGAAGGAGGAAGTACAATAGATCGTCTTGAATTACGGAGCCTTATAACCCCCAATTCAATTCAATATTTTAATTCACTCCTATAAGCTAAAACGTTAATCAGTTAATTCTGCATCTAATTCCTTCCTGCCGTTACTCCTATATAGCAATTAAAAGTTTTCTTTAAAGTAACAATTTCATATTTAATTAAAAATCATAAAAAATTTGACTTTTTTGACTCAGATCCCAAAATTCTGATTTAGAAAACTATTGTGTCCAAAAATTCCTTTAGCTTCTAAGACTGTGTTAAAGTGCTTGATTAATAACAAACACCATAAAATATAATTAGATCAATTCACAATCCAGGGGGGTATTCTTCTTACTCAATTTAAAAAATTAAATTTATTCCGATTATTATTTTTTTTTTTTTAAATTCATTTCATTTCATTTATCATCGTATTAAAAAAAAAATGCGTGTAGTTTTTAAAATAATTAATTTTAAATTAATTTTTTGTCTATATATGTTTATTATAATTTTATTTTTAATTATATATTTTATTAAAATTATTTAATTAATTTCAGCAAAACCCAACATATTCAAGAAATTTCTTGTTTAAATACCAATACATTTGTTAATGAAAATCACATTAAAACAAATCAATGTGTTCATGTAAAATCAAAAATTTACATCAAAAGTAATAAATAAAGAAAACAAAATGCGATTTTCAAAGTAATTTACGATATTAAAATAATCTTAAACCTTATTTTTATCGTATAAGCATCCGAAATTTAATTGTTTTCTGTCCTCCTTTCCTGCTAATTCAATTTAATTGTTGTGTTAATGTTTAATGTCGAAAACCTTTTGATCTACAAATTTTTACCCTTTATTAAAATTAGCCTCCATTAACGCATGCCTTATATTTATTTGTAAATCTTTAAAATTATCGTTAAATGGTTTTATAAATATTATTGGTTATATATACAGGATGGTTCATATAAAGTGGCGAATAATTCTTTGATCAATTTCCAGCAAAAAAATTATCTGGGTTGGAAGGGGTTGTGCAGATATACTCGTTTTCGAGTTAGAGCCTGTTGAAAGAAAAGGTTATCAAATTTTTTCTGCTTATAACTCCGGAACCATGTGATATAGACTAACAATTGGGTGCCGGTTTTACACGCAATTGATGCATCTTTTGATCAAAGAATTATTCCTGAAATTATTTGCCATCTTATGTAAAACACCCTGTAAAGAATATTTATGTGATGTTTTAATAATTTTAAAATCTAAAAATTAACTAATTATATAAAATTTAATAAAATAAATACCGAATTAGCCCATAGAGAAGAAAATTATTAAAAATATTTTAAAATAATTGAAATCAAAAATTGTAATTCGAATAATAAACAAAAATTTTAAAGAGATCGAAATTTTATACAATTAGCGGTGTCGAAATTTAAAATTTCCTCCTATATTTTTAAATGCAATAAATTACTATTGATTTTTACCTTTAAAAACATAACGTATGCTTATACAAATCGCAATAATTCTCAATAATAAAGAACCTTTAATTTCAACATTTAAAATTCAAAAATACTAAAATCGTAAACGCTATTAATATCAATATGACTATAGAAAGTTTTCTTTTCACTTACAATATACCCTTAATTTGATTCCATATATCTCGCATATGAAATTATTATCTAGTTTCTTTAAACGCCAAACATATTTAGTCTTCTTCTATCCGAATTTGTTTTTAACACGCTCCTATATTAAATTATTATTGGTATTTTTATTAAAAAAAAAAAATAGCAAATGCTTTCCGTTTTTTTGTATTTTGTTAAAAAATTAAAAAATTTATTTAAAATTCTATTCTTTTTATTATTTTAAAAAAAAATTATATATTAAATTTCATTATTTTAGAGATGAAAAACAACCATTAAATACACCAACTGGTAGTATTAAAAAAAATTCATCAGTTGAATTCGATGGTAGATTTGTACATTCAAGAAGTGGTGATATTATTGGTAAAAATTCTGCAGTGTGAGTTCCAGATGCATTTGTTTTTTACTGGCATCGTTTCTAAAATATTATATAAATATATACCTATATATATATATATGTGTGTATAAATAAATATATATATGTATATAAATAAAAAAAAATTATAAAAAAAAATTAAAAAAAAAAACATTATTTTACTGTAATAAGGGAAAAAAAAAAGTAAGAATTGTACAACAAAGACTATAAATTTAAGTAAAAAAAAAATTATTAAGAAATTTCTATATGTTTATATAGAATTCAATAAAAAAAAATTTAATTATATAATAAAACAAAAAAAAAAATAATTATTATAATTGTCGAAATTTTGATTATTGTAAATTTAACTGTTTTAATGGAACGCTAGATTAGAATTATATAAGATTCTATATTCAATTAGTCATGACAAAATAAAAATGTATTTTATGATTCTAAGGTAGCGGCTACTTTATTTTAATAAACAATGGAATACATATTTTCCCTATTATATAAAAAAGCATGAATTTAAAAAAAAAAAAAATCCGAAATCGCTTGTACTTCTAAAATCATCCCAGTTACTTACATTATATCAAACTAGAAAATCTAATTTCATTAAGAACAAAATATTAAAGTACTCATATTTTCATAGTCCGCATTGTTATTTAAAAATTTTGAAGTTTTCGGAATTAAAACAATTCCAAAATTTTAAATAATATACTAAAATTCAAAATATTTTTCAATATTATCCCATTATACTTCAAGTGATGCGATTAACTAAATATGAGTGACTAATTTATTACAGTATTATTAAAATAAAAATATTAAATATAAATTTACAATACACTTTTTGGAATTATTTTCTATTTTGATATTATAAAACCGCTTACATATGCATATATAATATTGTGTGACACACCATATTATATGCTGTATAAATTCAAAAATTATTTCGAAATTTATAAATTTAAATTACAATTTTAAATTTTACTTTATAAATTTCAAAATTATTCAAATTTCTATTTATTGAAATTAAAATATTGCGAATTTAGTATAATTAATGTAAGCGGTTCCCTCATAAAGTATACATAATATATTTTATAAGTTCATATTTTAAAGAAATTCTTTTTTTTTTCAAAAAATTATAAAATAAACAGATAAATTTTCAAATAATCAAAATATACAATTTGTATAGCAAAATAATGTACATGTATTATGTAAAAATAAGAAAAAAGAGAAAAAAACAAAACAATTTACCTATAATAATTATTATTAACAATAATTGAAAAAAAAAAACAAAACAAAATTATATAATAATTCTTATAAATAAATTTAATTTGCATTTTAAAATCAAAAATCTCCATGACAAAATTAAAAAATTAAATAACAAAAATATAAAAATAAAGTTGAAAATTCTTTTTTTTTTTTTTTTTTTTTGCTCATATAAAAATATTTCCTATTTATTTTGTAAAAGTATAAAAAAAAAATGTAATTATTAAAATATTAAAAATAATTAATTATTACATATATATATATATATATATATATGTAGAAAGCATCGCCATCTTTTGTTTTATAATTTATATATATATATATAATATAATTAGAAATAAATATTATTATAGAAAACAACATAAATAAGTTAACATAATTTTTAAAAAAGAAAAATTAAAAACAAAAAAAAATAATTTTTAAATTTAATTTTAATAATTTAAATAAGTAAATAATATAAAAAAATAATATTATATAATATTACACGTTTTATATACATGAAATAAATTATGTATAATTTCAAAACTTTTCTAAGTGTTCATAATTATAATAATTGTATGATTAAAATTTTTGTATGTTTTATATAATTATATTAAACATATAATTAATAATATCAATTTTATTTTTATATTTTATTTAATAAAAATAATTTAAATATTATTATAATAAAATAAAATAATTATTTTAATTTAAAAATATTGAAAATATTAAAAAATATTGAAGCAACAACATTTTCTTATTTATATTTCAAAAATTTTTTAATTTAAAATATTAAATTGTGTGTATGAGTACTATATATTAAAATAACACAAACTATATGAGTATCTCGCCTAAAATCTAATTCAATAAATAATATATAAAATTAAGCAAATCTATAATCAATTTCACATTATTCAATAATTAAAATTTGTATTATTTAAAATAATTCAGGTTTATATTACATTATACATTTTGATGAATGCCATATAAAAAAAAAGCATTTACATCTAAATTGCTAAAAATTGTAATTGTGATATTCAATATTCCAAAAAATATGTTTTTCAATTATCGTACAATACATAATAATCTTTTACATATTTTGAATATCACAAAAATTTATTGAATTTCAGAACGTTTTACTAAGAAACAAGCACAGATATGTACAGACCTTTAATCATTGTACAATATTATCTATGCCTATTTCTTTTTAGAACTATATAAAGAAACATTTGAATAATGAGCAATTTAAGGTCAAAATATAGTACATCATACCATTTTAATTGTATGTATTTATACCAATATTATACCAAAAAAATATTTTCTTAAATATTTTTAATATAAAATTTTTTATTTTATTTTCTTCTAAATTTTGTTTTTTTTATTTTCTCATGCATCCCAATTTATTTTAAGTTATTCTAAATAGTTTTAATAATAAGTAAAAATTATAAATAAAATATTAAAAGTAAAAATAATTTTATTATTAAATTATTATTTAAAAAAAAAGTATTGACACCGAATTTGTGTATGAAATCATAAAATTTAAAATAAAAATTTAAATAATATTTTTAATACTCGTAATTATATTTATGTACTTATTGATATAAGTTAAAATAGTATTTTTTTTTTTTACATTTTTAAGGATTTTCATTCGTTTTTTTTTTTATAAAATTCTTTAATTTAAATTTTATTCGTAATGATAATGAAATTTTACATAAAACCGAATAAGTGAATCACTTACAATTTAAATATGTATGTGTGCTATAAATCACATTTAAATTAAATTTAATTAAAAATAAACTAAATTAAAAACCGGGATATACTCAATTTTTCATGTAGAATTTCATTATCATAATATTATTTTAATATTATTTAAAATAGCCCCAATGAACAATTTTCAATACTAAATGCATATTTTGCAATTTTATATAATAGTGATAATAAATTAAATAATCTTAATTTAATTTAAAATCTTAATTAATTTTTAAATATCTAATTTAAATTTGTTCAAAAAATAATAATAAATTTGAATTATTCATTATTGTTACTATAAATCCTTTAAAATAATTTTTTAACATTATAATTATATTAATTACAATTATTTTCATGACATCATTTTTTAAGTATAATATCGTAAGATATTTTGAAATTAAATTGATTAGTATTATGGCAATATATTTTTTTTTTTTTTTGCAAAAGTGGAAATTATGAGATTATATTATTACGGCTACTTACTATTAATAATATCACTATTATATAAAAATTATCATCAAAAATAATTAACGAATATGTATAAATCTAAAATATTTTGATTACAAATATTTTCAACTTATTATTGAAATATCACATTTTTGTTTTCTAATATCACTATTAATTTAATTTTTAAATTTTCATTTTAATTTTTATTAAAATTATAATTATTATAGTATTAACGAACAATAAATTAAATTTAATATACTCATATAAATAATATATAACTAATATAAATGAAAAAAATCAAAATTGGAAGTAAAAACAAAACAAATTTAAAACTTATTTTAACTATTATTATTAAAGAGAAAAAAAAATAGCAATGTTGAAATTTTGATAATATTATAAAAAATAAAAATATATTTTATACCATGAAAATCTTATACAAACTATGAAATTTTTATACAGCTTAAAATCATACAGCAAATTAAATGAATATAATTTTTTGTTCTCATAAAAATATTATAAATATAGTAAATCATTCCCGATATTGCTTCTAAAAACATAAATATAACAAAAAACTAAAAAAAAAAAGGATTAACTAAATTTCTTAAAATGCAATTTAAAATTCAAATAGCATATAGTCTTTACTGCGAAAATAATAGAAATTTTGTTAAAGGTTGTTTTAGAAACCCGGCGAAAGCAATAGTAATTTGTAAATGATTTACTGTATTCAAATGTTATGGGAACAATACAATGTCTAATACATAGTTTTCTTTTACAAAAATTCTATAAATTTCTATTTAAAAACATATACATATACAATCATTACAAGAATGAAAAATTTTCAAAAATTTCAATCAGAATCTTAATTACAAATACAACTTTCACACATAATATAATCACCCATATTCTTTTAGATGCATTAATAAGTAATCGATTATTAATAAAATAATTTGTAATTTCCAGAATTATAATAAAAATTCAAAAATTTGCAATTTATTGTATTGAAATCCTTCACATTTTTAAACAGTATTCCAGTATCTTAAATAATGCATCTAAAAGAATGTAGGTAATTAACAATTTAACCTGTATACTAGCATTGTATAAGTACTTACAAAAAAAAATGAAATATACTTAAAATTGAACAAAAAACAAATAATATAAAAATTAAATACAAATTATACTATTGATACTAAATTCAATTCTAAATTTTTTCTTCAAAATGAATACCTATAACATAATATACAAAATAGCTCTATGAAAAAAAAAATGAATCTTAATATTTACATACATTCTAAATCTTATATACAATATTAAAAATAATATTTTAATTATTTATTAGAATGCAAAAAATATTTTCTTATTTTTTGGATAAAAAAATTTTTTTGATCAAAGTACATAAAAATATACAATAAATAATTAATAATACCTCAAATTTTACCTAATATATAACAAAGAGATAAATAATTAAAATATAAAATAAAATTTGTTTTCTTTCCAATTATTGAAATTTCAATATACAATATTGTAATTAATATTTATAATATTAATTATAATTATAAATTCATCAAAATTTTTACAATACAATTAAAATTATATAGAAAATACATTTTACATAATAATTATTTAAAAAAAAAAATTAACTGTGTTAATTTATCAATGCCAAATAAAAAATAATTATTATAAAAATAAATACATATATATATTTAATAAAATCATCGCCCAGCAAAGCAAAGAAAAAATTTTTTATGTATAAAAATGAAAAAAAAAAATAATGTCGCTTTAAAGCTTTTACATAAAATATCCTCCTATAATAATTATACGCCTATAATAAAAATAATATTTATTTTTTTCTTAAGAAATGCAACTATATAAAAATTATATTATATCTAAATGTATTATATATTTACAAATTTTTTAATATTACTTTAAATGTTACTTTAAATTAGAAATAACATAAAATTATTTATTTTTCTTAAATTCTTTTGAAATAATTTTTTTTTTTTTTGGAATAATTCGAAATTTGTTTAGTATCGGCACTATTAAAATAAAATTTTATACATTATACGATTATTTTAAAATTAAATTAATATTACATTTGTATTTCAATATTCCAAAATAAACAAATGTAGAAATAAATATTTTAAAATTTGTTATAATTAATTATTTATCTTAATTTGTATTCCAATTCTTATTTATTTTAAAATGTTATTTTAAGAACCAATGACAAAATTTGCTAATAAATGCAATATCGAATATTATAAATACAAGATTATTAATAAAAATTTTAAATTTTAAACTTATTTTTTTTTTCTTTTTAATAATACACAAAGAGAATTTAAGAAATTTAAATATGTATGTATATTTATTTCTAATATACATTTATATAGTTGCATATTTAGTAATAATATGTGCATTTATTATTAGCATATATAAATAAAAATGATTTAAAAGTAATAAAAATTTTGAATTTACAAAATGTATTTGAAAATATTTATAATTTTGTATTATTTTCATTAGTAATTACTATAAGGAATTTAATTTTAAAATAAAAAAATTAATCAGTACAAAATAGAGGAATTGATAAATTGCATTATAAACCTATTTTCCTGTATACTATAGATGGTATTTCTATTAAAAAAAAACTACATGTTAAAAATTAAATACGGAACAAGTATATACTGAAACAAAAATTTAATTTAATTTATTTATTTATAATAATCAAAATTTTCATTTAAAAATCGCAACAAACTTGCATATATTACACATTTAAAGTTTATTAAACAAAATATAGAAATTAAAATAATATTTTCAAATATATTTTGTATTTTAAATTTAATTACTTTAATTATTTTTGATTGAATTATTATAAAATTCTATTAAAAAATAAAAGAAAAGAAATAATTATATTTATGCATAATAATTAAATAAAATATATATACGTACGTACTTATTTTGAACAAAAAAAAATTATATATAAAATATTTTATAAATAATTTAATTATTAATTGTAAAATGTAATTATCATTAATACTATATTTAATTATTTAGCTATTATTATACGGATTATTGTATTATCATTATTAATATTAAGTAAATTTAAATGAAAGAATAGAAAAATTTTCTTTCAAAAAATCATTTTAATTTTAATTTTTTTCTTATTTTTTTTTCTGTTTTTTTATATTCTTTAATAAAAAAATATATAACTATTTACATAAAAAAAAATAAAAATATAAATATGTAATAATTAAAAATTAAAATTTTTGTTTTTTTTTTTTGAATAATGATAAACAAGTAATTAAGAAAAGTGAAAAGAAAAAATTAAAATAAAAAAATTATTTTTATTCTAAGTTGCCTTATTTAATATAATTTTTTATTATATAATATTGTATAATTAAATAAAATAAATATAATATACAATTGAAAAAAAAAAAAAAAATTTTTTTTGTAATTGTTCTTAAAAAAGAAAAATAAATAAAAGTAAGTTACAAGAAAAATTAATTAATAATTTTATTAATTGCTTAATAATTGAAAAAATAAATGATGTTGTTTAAATAAAAATTAAGAAAATTCTTCTATATCAAAATTTACATTTTATAGGCTTATTATTATAAAATAATAAAATAACACAATATAATTATACCCTTATATTTTTTACGCCTTTATTTACACATTAATACATTAAATAAATTTTCAAAAATATTCTTCCTTATTAATATTAATTTATTCTTATTTTATTTAATACTCGTATATATTTCTTTTTCTATTTAAATTTTACGATAAAGCAAATATTTATCTCAATAATATCCAGGCCCTCCTTACACATTTTCAACCTGACTAATCGGCAATATTAATTTTATTTAATATTGATAATTCCATTTTAAAGTCCCACTACTATGATTGGTTCCTAAAAATAATAAAATTAATATTTAAAAGTTCAAAAAATACAGATTTTGATATTTTTTACGCTTTACCATTAGCTTTCCTTCATCATCCTTTTTTTTTATCTATTTACGTTTTGGTAAGTATTAATTTTTTTGGCAAAGTAGTTTATCAAGAATTTTAGAACATTTAAATAGTGTAATTATATCTTAAACTATGTACTTAACTTTTAGTAAATGAGTTACTTAAATTTAATGACAGACTATCTGAAAAAATCGGCAAAAGTGATCTAAACGCCTCTTAATCAATTAATTGTTTTATTTAATAAATCTCATTATCATTTTCATATCCTTGTATTTTATGAACCTTTTGAATTTTTTAAATTTTACAATTATTATTTATGAATCTATAAACATAAAATACACTCAGTTTTACATTTGTCCAAAAAAAAAACAAAACAAAATATAATTACAAAATTAATACAAAATTTTTACAATTTAAATATTTTTTTTTCTAATTAATTTTGTTCTGATTTTAATAAATTGTGCATAACATAAGAAGTCAGAAACTATAAAATGTTCAATATTTCTTTTGTAAATAATTTAAAAATCAAAAACAAAAAAAAAAATAATTATAAAATTTTATAGATTTGTAAAAATTTTATTATTGACTTGCAAAGTTGTAAAAGTTAAATGTAGCTTTTTATATTAAATGCAAAAAAAATGAAAAAGGAAATAAATTTAAAAAAAAAATCGATAAAAACAAATAGAACTAAGTAAATGAGTTTTATTTTAGCTTTTAAAATTTGTGTGTTCTAAAAATTGTCAAAATAACGTAAGTACTCTTGCAACAATCCAAATGCTTAATCCAAACTTAAGCTGCCCTCTAATAGAATATTATCAGTTGCAATTCAATTTAGTATTTTAACCATTACAATTTGATTACAAAATAAAAATGGATTGGAAAAACAAAATTATTAGTCGAAATGAAAATGGTAAAACATACAACAAGAATTAGATTTGTAGTAATGTTGTATTACTTCTAAATTTTTAGCACTAAAGTCTTTCAGTTCCTGTAGAAACCTTTGTTTTATGTAGAAAATTGCAGATCACTATTCTCGAAGATCAAGTCCTTCAACAATTTTTAATTCTCTTTCAGTTCTTAATGAACACGTTTTTTTTTTTATAAATTGTGATCCTAATTTTCATTTAATTTCGCCAAGATTTTTAAACTATATTATTTTGTCATTTATTGAAGTAGGAACATTCAAATGCAATTGAAAATTTATGATAAAATTTTTAAATGTACTTAATAATTATTTAATATTAATCATTCTTAATGTTTTTCTTCGCAACATTTCTTATTGATTTTAAGTTTCTAAAATATAATAAAGGCAGTAGGTACCTAATCTTTAATTTTTAAATAAATTGCTTACATATTACATTGATTTATACTTTAACAAGTTGTAATTTTACAAAATCCTTACACAATAAAATTAATGTATGAAGAAATGAAAACAAACAATTTAAAATTTTTATACAATAACTTTCTTACGGCAAACATATCTTATATTAATAAAAATTATTTGATTTTTAAAACTATTTATTTACAATTCTTTTTTCTTTTTTGCGTACAAACACTTTGTCATAATAATTATTCTAAAAATAAATTTATTAAAAAACTGTGTGCAGAACTTACTCCATGACGATGGTTAAATGAATACATAACATCTGTACATGATGGTCTGATACATAGTATCCATATGTATGTATGAATGTGTTACATATCAATTTTTTTCAATTATGGGATAGCATATTGAAAAATTTAACCATTTTCTTTAATGAACATCCTCAAATTTATCTGTGGTCTTTTTCAGAAAATCTCTTTGAAACGTTCCATATACACATATGTTTCTTTCCTTTGAGTTTTCATACCTATTTCGTTTTTTACTTTGATATTAATTTATAAAATATATACATAGATAATATTTGATGCTATTTAAAAAACATACAACGAAAATTTATATTAACTTATTCCGTATTACATAATATGTGTTTTACTATGCTTCCTAAGATTAGAGTTCGTATAAAATTTTTTCCCACAAGTTTCACATTCATAACGTTTATCATTATTATGTCTTCGTATATGATATTCTAATCCGGATGATAACGCAAATGTTTTTCCACATAATTCACAAATATAAGGTTTTTCTCCAGTGTGTGTTCGTTCATGGGTCTCCAGGATATTTCCAGCTCTGAATAACCCATTACAAAATCGACATTTAACTAAAAATTTTAAAAAGGTTTTTGAAACAAATTTATAAATTTAAGTAAGTTTTAAAATAATAATATTCTAATAAGTAGTTATAGTTTTTAGATATTTACCTCCTGTATGTTTATGCAGATGACGTGTTAAACTTCCATTTGTATAAAAAGTTTTGGGACAGTAATTACATGAAAAATTCTTTACGTTAGAATGCAGGGTTAAATGATTGTTCAAAATAACTTTTGTTGAAAATCTCTTGTTACAAATCGTACACTCAAATTTTCTTTCTCTTTTTCTTTGTACACTATTAGGTAGAGGTCTAATATTATCATGCTCATGATCTTGTTCACCTGTGAACGTTTCAAAACATTCTAAACATTGAAAAAGTTTTTTCTCATTCTTTTTATGAACTTCCAAATGTTTTAGATATCTTGCTGGTCTTGCGAAAGTTTTACAACATTTCACGCAATGTCTTGGTAAGACCCCTAAAATTATTAAATGGGAATATGATTATTTTTTTACGATTTTATTTACTATAACCTTTTTTCCGTAAAGCTGGTGGAGGTTTACCAAGGACTTCTTTTGCCATATGTGTTACAGTCTTTATTTCGATGTCTTCTTTTAAAATTTCTCTTGCAAAACTACTAGTTATAGAACCTTCATCATCACTACTTTGGTTTTCCTCTTCATTTGGTATTTCATTAATTAGTTGAATGCTTAATACTTGACCATCACGTGGTAATTCTAAATTATTTTTATTGTTCTCAACGATTGGTATATCATCATCTAATTTATTAATCTCTTCATCATCAATATATTCTTCTTCACAATTTGAGATTTCATTAGTATCTAGCATATCATTTTCTATTTGACTATCTATTTCATGTTCATCGTTATATGATTCTTCTTCAAAATTTGTGTCCTCACTAGTACCAAGAATTTCATTTTCTAATTGACTATTAATTTCTTCTTCAAGACGGTATGAATCTCCTTCAATGCAATTCGTGTTACAATTATTTTCAATTTTGTCGTCGTCTTTAAATAATTCAACAGTAATACTTGCATCTTCAGATATATCTTTATGACCATTAATACTAAGGGGATCTTTATTCTTATCAGATTTTTTTTCTATTCTCACACGTGATTTTGTTTTTAAAATCACATTGGTATTGGCAACATATTCCATAAACTTTCCATCCTCATTTTCAATTACAAGCGGTTCATCCAATTTTGTAGATATTGGTGGCACATCTATCTCTAGAACATTTGAATTTTTATCCCCTAGATGTATTTCTATTTTAACTTTAAAATTAATATTTTTTAAACTTAGTGATTTATCTACCGGAGTTATTTTATTTTGATCCATAATTATAAAAATATTTTACTATTATTTTTATTGTTTACTTAAATTATGAACTTCATTCTTAATGCGAAGTGAAGTTTGTTCCAAAAGCCTCAATTGTTTTATATTTATTGATTGACGTTTAATATTAAAGTGACCATTTTATTCGAATTTTCGCTATTTGGAAGAGCATGAAAAATTTTTTTCAAAGCGGCAAGTAGTGCTTATTCATAACGTAGACGTCAAACGTTACGATGCTGCTGTCATGGCAGCGCACATCGTTTATTCGTTAATTTGTAAATCTTTCCTCACAAACCTTGGTTTTTAGTTATAATTTTGAGGTTTTGAAAGCTTACTTCAATTTTAAAAGTAATAATTTTATTGCTTACTAAATTCATGTACCATTTTTGGTTAACTAAAATTTGAATTTTATTTTTTTAGTAGATTCTTAGTATCTACATATTTCTTTCCGGTATGTATGTATATTGTTCATTGTAAAATTGTTTTGGATTTTTATGAAAAATTGGACGCTATGCGGAATCACAATCTTGTTAAACTGCAAATAACAAAAAATTTGAAAATTTTCATAGAAAATTTCAAAATTTTTTCTTACTTTTAAAGAAACATTTTATGTTTTAACAAAACCTTATATTTCTATTCAAACAAATTGCATCTCTGTATGCATCTGCCTATAATATATTTAATTTACAATAATGCAATTAATTCCTTGTTTTTAGTAAATTAGATTTACAACAAGTTGCAAACCTCATGCCATGAAAAACTAATCGGTTTTCTTCTAATGACTGCATTACACTCAGCACAGAAGTCACTTCGGCCAATTAGATAGTCTGTAATGTAAGTTAGTAAGTATACTAAAGTAATGCAATAAAATTTTTGTTTTTATTTTTATTTAATTAAAAAAAAATCAAAATATTACAAGTTCCTTGGATTCGCTAAATTACATTTTCTTAAAAAACATTCTAATTACATGAAAATCAATAAATACATATGTCAATGGATACATTCAATTGTAATTATTGTAATATTATAGGTACAATTTAAGAAAATTTTAGCAATCCTTTTTTTTCACAGCCAAAATCAGCTGAAAAGTATAATATGAAAGTAATAAATATTGTTAACTAATTACATTACGAGTATATTCAAAATCATAATTCTATTATTTTATTTAATTGAGATAATGAATTTGCCTTGTTTTTAAAAAACTAATAGGAGTAGGATTTAATTTTAATTAAATTTATATAACTTTTAATACTTATTTAATATTAAACTATTTGTTCTGGTTAATTGATTCTATATTGAAAGAACAGACAATATTTTAAAAAATATATACTGCAATAATATTTGAAATATGCTGCATTCACCAAAAATATTTTCAGATTCCAATAAATATATTTATAAAATTTAAAAATTTCTTAATTTTTAATGTTAACGCACTTCGGATTATTAAAAAAAATCTAATTTCTAAACTTCCATTCCATCATTAGATGGTTTTTTCTTTTCTTTTAATAATTTATCTTCGCCAACTAATTTAGGCTTTTCAGTTCTTGTATGCCAAACTAAAACATCTTGACATAAATTTGCCAATGGTTGGAGTTCATTTTTAAGTGTTACAAATCGTAAAATTTCACTTTCTTGAAAACCTCTATCTACTTCAAAACTAAAAGATGCTTTTGGATATTTTATTAATAAGTTTGTACTGATTGCAAAGCCAGCCATATCAATTGGAAATGGTCTTTCAGGTCTCCATACAGAATTAAAACCGGTAACAATATTTTGTTCATTTAGTATTGGTTTTTCAACCATTAAACCACCAACTAGTCCAACAGGCCAAACACCAACTTTACCCGGTTCAATTTTCATCATTTCACTAAATAACTCAACTGAATATGTATTATCATCATCCATAAAATATACTATACTATGTTTATCTTTATTTGAATTTTCTCTAATCCATTGTATTGCTAAATTTCTTTGTTCAACACCTCTTGGTTTCATCCAGTTTTGATCTTTTTTATTTAATTTATATTCATCAGGTGTTTTTATATTTAATAAAGTGGATCTAGTTATTAATTTTGATAGTTCTAATAGTGATTGTACTAATTTCGATGGTTGATTTGCATCTTCAACTAATATCCAATGAATATTTGGCACGAGCGTTATTAAATGTGATAACCTACAAAAAATATAATTTAGTTTGAATTTAGTTTGAAAATGTGAAAGAAGTTACTTACCTAGTTAATTCAGCTTTTTGAGTTGGTCTTGCATAAGTTGGTGTTACAGCATAAATTAAAGGTAACGAATCATTATATTCTAGGTCTGATGAACATTTGTTTCGAGATGCTACGTACCATAGCAGAAGACCAAATAATATTAAAGTAAGCAGAAATTGCTTTGGACGTACTCGAATTTCAGTCATAATTTAAGTTTTTTATTCGAGTTGTATTTTTATATGATTTTAATATTTTATAACTTAGTTAGATTCTTTTTAAATAACTTTTATTTCATTATGAAGTGTTTTCGTTTACAAATTTGACAAATTTTACCATTCTCTAATAAATATATTTGACAAGTAAAAATATCAAGACTCGAATTTTTTTTAATTGTCAGTTGAAGATACCACGAAAAGCTTTTTTTAATTATATATGTAGACTATAGTTAAAAGTAATCATTTTGTATTGACGTATAATATTACAAAAAAAGATTTTGCGATGTTCTCTATAATAATATGAGCTTAATATTTTAGATGTATTGTAGATGTGGTCTAATATCCTCAATTCTACTCAATTTTTTCCGTCAGACCACTTTGGTGACTAATAAGTTAACAATTTTGTAATTTGAAGTGTTCAAAATTGAATTATTTATTGAATTTAACGACAGAAAAAGTCAATAGAGTCAACATTTATAAGGTGATTTTCTAAATTTTGTTTCAAAAGCTCATAATAACAAAATTTGAACACTACTTTTGTGTCTATCACTGATTTTTAAAATTATAATGATATTACAATATCTTACATATCTGTATTTTAAATAATTATTTATTTTTAAAAGACGCATAAAATAAAATACAAAATTTCGTGTTGACTTTCCTGTTATACATGTATATAACAACTAACCGAATTTAGTATCTTCGCTATTTTGTTCCAAAATGCTAAATGTTTATTACATTTAGGAGTTTAATTATAAATAATTGATAATTCAAGTATTTTTAACAGCATAACATAAGATAAGTATTTTTCACAGCAAAAACGCTGATTATATAAAATATTTAGTTGAAATAGGTCGAAATTAAATAAATCCGTTTTTATGATAATTGTAAAAACCTAGCTTTAAGGGCGCAAACAAACATGTTATTTTCAGTCTTGTAACCATTTGATTGCTCTTCTGAATTCCATATAATATATAAACTCATGCATTAAATTAAGTAATCAGACAGTTTGTAATTTTTCATAAACTGATTGCAATTTTTAGCTAACGCACTCGATTTGATTTGCTGCAATAGTTTAGTTTCTTAGATGTGCGGGCAACGAATTTACAATCAGGCAGTAATTAAAAAATTAAAAATTATATGTCAGCCTGAGCTGTAAGAGCCAGATAGACGTGGAATTTTTAGTTTTGCAATAGTTTGAGTGCTTAATTGTTTGATTGCTTGTGACTGCATAGGTTCATATTCAAGCTCGCACACATTCAACTGTATGGTAGTATGGGATTAGTTGCTTAATAACTGAAATTTTTCCAAACTGAATGCAATATTTATATATATAACGCATTTGATTTGAATTGAAGCAATAGTTTAGTTCAGCAATTGAATTGGCTTCTGCCCTAAATTCTTAACATTTTTTTTAAAATTTTGTTTATTGTGAATTTCATTAGATTTCATTGTGAATTTTTGACAGCTTTACAAACAGAAAATTATTATGACATTATAAAACTTTTTTAAATTTTGATATTCATTTTTATTACCGTTTGATAAAAATTTAGAATAATTTTTCTTTCAAATTTTTATTGTGGACTATTAAATTAATTATAATATTATTTGAAATAATAATATAAAAAGTTCAATTATTTTATGGTATAATCTTGCGAATGAATGATATATTTTACGAATTCAAACGTTTTGTAATATTTTATATATTGGCGCCAATTCTGTATGGATTCATGAGACACAAATAGCAAAAGTTTAGAAAATGTGAATACGTATCTTAAAAATATTAAGAAAATTTGAATATTAAGCTAATGACTACTTGCAATACTTTATTATTCGTACAACGCAAATTTGTTTTAAAAATTGAATGGATCTGAAATGTTGAGAATGATGAACGTATAAAAATTCTAAACTGAAAGTTTGGATAACATTTCATACTTATTAAAGGTAATTTGTTACAAAAATGTAAGTGCACATTGCATCTACCTATAACTTATATTTACTTATTTTAAGAAACTTAGAACTATAAAAAATTTTTTTAAAGAGATTTTTCATAAAGCATAAGGCAACCAGTTTAATCTTAAAAGTAATCCTTAAATTTAATTTAAATGTTTTAAAAATTTTTAAGTGGCCTCATTTACATATGTACGTACATTCATGTAGTCACCTACTTAATATTTAATTTAAAAAAATCAAAAATGATGTTTAAAAACAAGATTGATATTGGAAGATCATGAATTTTAAAAAATTAAAATCACTTTGCATATTGAAAATATAACAATAGTTCTTAAAATATACATATATATGTATGTATGTAAATACATAGAAAAATTGTTTGGTTAGCAATTATCAGTTATCCACATATAATATTAGATGGCCTTTTTAATTGGAATATTAAAATAAAAGATAGGATACATTGTGAGGAATGAAATTTTTTTTACATATTCAGTGATTCAATAAGCATATTCAGTAAATTATGTTTGTTATATAAATTATAGAGCATCAGTCGCACAGCTTCCTCGTAACATTTCATGTAGAGTGTATTCGAGAAAGATGAATTCTGACTGCTGAATAATATGTACAAACATTCGGAGTCTGAAATATACACTTCGAAAATAATTTTTTAGGTATTACTTAAATACAAATAATGAATCTATTAAGTTTATATATGTATGTCATATTTCGGAAATTGTTTATAAGTTAAAGATTTACTAATCGAGAACCTAAATAAACATCAGGTCTATATATATATCAAATATATGTATATAAAATACAATATACAATTTAGGTGAGTGTAACCATTTAAAATTATAAAAGTAAATCGAAAAATATAGACGACAAATAAATAAAAATAATCAATGTAGGTAGGTAGGTAGGTATGTAGGGTGGGTATCTATCCATCTATATCTCCATCTATATCTACATATACCACAAATATTGTTATATAAGAAACGATGAGAAAATTGAACAAAAAAATTTATTCTTTTATAATAAACTGTCAAGTATAATAAAAATATAGAAAGAACAAAAAAAATAAAGATGAAAATGTTTCCCGTTCTCACTTTTATAATCCAAAATGAATTTCCGTTTAAACTTATTTTCTTTTGCTATATTTTGATGCTATAGATATTCTATTTTTAAAACGTAACCTATATTTTGTTAAGAAGTGTGTGAGTATATGTAAATGTTATGTAATAATACGTTGTCATTAGATTTACGATAAACGAATAAAAGAGGCGAATGTTGATAGAAAATTAGGAAATTGGAAGGAGATAAAATATCTCTGGTTTGGTTTCCGTTTTTAGCACTTTTCCAAAAATTTTTTGAAAAAAAGTGCTTATTAGTTTCACTCTGTCCGTCCGTCCGTCCGTCCGTCCGTCCGTCCGTCCGTCCGTCTGTCCGTGTGTCTGTTTACAAAACTTCTACACCCTTGAAGATACAAAGCTGAAATTTTATATGTACATAGATCTTTACTAGAAACTTATTTCTGTAGAACAAAATTTTTACCTATCTCCTCCCCTCTAGAAGTTATACCCCCCCAAAACCCTAAAAATGGCCTTTTTTAACTATTTGTTGCAATGAAACCATAAGCATTTTTGAAATTTTTCAAACGCAGAAAAGCAGCGGCTTGCTTCCCCTAGCGCGGCATACTATATTTGAACTTTAGAAAAACAAAATGGCCGTTCAAATTTACCGTTATCTAAAGTCCTTTTTTTGCAAATTTTTGATGTCGTTTTTTTTCCAAACTACAGCCTGTAGAAGCTTGAAATTTTAGGAGCTTTTAGACATTATCACATAGTTCATTTCGCTAGAAGAAAATTTTTTTCCATCTCCACCCCCTCTCAAGTTATCGCCTCTTGAAATTTGTAAAATTTGAATTTTTGACACCTTATATTTCCGAAACCGCAAGCTTTTTCAAATTTCTATTAACGCAAAAAGCTAACGGTAAATTCCATGAAATTAAAAAATATAATTATTTTTCTTAACTTACACAATTAAACCTTAAAATCGAGCATTATGTTAACCCCTTTTTATATTAATTTTTGCTTTATTTCAAAGACTGCATATATGCGTCATCCTAAATATATGCAACCCTAGAAATAGTTTTGTATATGAATGAAAATAATTTTAATAGTGTGATAGGTATACATAGACTGTATTTAAAAGCAAAATTTTCATTTGTTGAAGGGAAAAGTGCTACAATACAAACCATTGGTTTGATCCAACTTTATTTGTTATAATAACAACATTAAATTTTCTTCTTTAAAATAATAATTATGTAGGTATATGAAATATTGTTATACATAAGTTACAAAGTTATTGCTTAAAATTGATTTAGACTTATATTTGTAATTTATGTATGTCTTATTGTTTTATAAAACAAAAGTGTAACTATTAAGTATATATCACTCATGAAGAAATGCTGACTGATATTGCAGGAATAGTGCATTATGGAAAAATTCAACTCTTATATATTAATGCAAATTAGTAATTTGTTTAAATCATATTTAAAAATCTGAAAAGACAAATTGGAGTTTAAAATTTTTTACGGTTTGGGTGAAGTTTTGGTGTATTTGATATCAAATATATGAAGTACTTAGTATTTTGTTAATATAACGCGAAAACATGTTATCTAAGGAGCTTGGACTTAAAGCAGAATTATCAAAAATCAACCACCTTAACTTCGTGCCGCAATGAGCTGTCGCTATTTAATATCTTTTGTTTGGAGGTTACATTTCTCTTGTAGCGATAAATGACCGCAATAAACTAGCGTTAATAAACACCTTTCATTTGAAGGTCTCATTTCTGTTGTAGTGGAAGCTATATAGCAAATAACAATTAAATTCAAAGCAGGTACTTCCGAAAATTTTAAATTATTTTTAAACAAAAATTCTAATTTAAAAAATTTTAAATTCTTTTTTAGAAATTATTGTTGTGCATTCTTAGAAGAATCACCATGTACATGATAATAAAGAACGAAAATGTTTGACGTATAAGTACTAATATATTATATAAAATTCACGTGATAAAAACAAAAAATACAGCAAATATTTATACATTTTTTTAAAGGATCTTAAAGATTTTAAAGCGGTTAATATAGCAACGAAAAGAAAT